CGAAATTGTCTCCAATGGAGCTATGCAGGTTTGTCATGCAAACTATGAACCAGAAGTGATCGCATATGCTTTCCATGCAAATGGAGGACATGTTTTAATGCACCCTAGAACGAAGATAAATTATTGTGCAACTAGAGAAATTGTTCATGGACAGATGATTCTGTTTTAATGCAGGCTTTGCTGAAGCTGGTAGCCGACTGTTCCACGATAGCCCTGAACCCAAGTAGGAAAGATGGGTTGAACGAATCTCCCCTGAAGATAGCGCTTTTTTCACTGGCGAAGATGTGTGCACACGCGCCTTGTAGGGAGTTCCTCCGGTCATCAGAATTATTTCCTGTGATAGGGCAACTGAGGCAGTCCCCGGAATCCACCATCGCCAACTACGCTACCCTCATTATCAGTAAAGTCGGCGGAACTTGAGATGGAGTTGGGTGGGGTAGGTACAGGTTAAACATCCTCGTTAGCTTTTTTAGTTCCAGAGATGTGCTGATGGGAGTGGTTGTTTTGGCGCTCGTTCAAGAACTCACAGCTGATAGTGCAAACAAGGACTGCGCGATCCTTTGTATGAAATTGTTTTATGTGCTTTCATGCTCAAAAACTGATGTAGATTGGAGCATGTGACATTCTGATAGTGAGCAATTTGCAGTTGATCAAGCAACTTAATGCAGCCACGAAATTACCAACTGGAAATCATCTCTAACGTGCCATTTCTCTACAAAGTTACATCATGTGGTTGTATGTGAAGTTATGTTTCTAACAGCGCTACCATTCTCATCTGTTCATCGTCGTGGATAATGGTCGATGGCCTGGAAGCTTCTAACAGCAAACAAGGTATGTTCTCCTATTTGATGCACATGTTGCTTTGTCTTGGCAAATGCATTAAGAATACTTGATCTTATGGTTAAACCTTGTGAAGGTTTTCTTGATTTCCAAGGCAGATTTGCAGAGAGAGAGAGAGAGGAAGAGAAAGAAAAGGTTATAAAACAAGGAAGATTCCCGTGAGTTTGTTTTGTAGGGTTTGGGATGAGATGGGATTGGCTTTGGCTGGCTTACCACATGCCTCCCTCCTCTTCTCCACTTGCCCACTTCTCAAACAAACATCGATTACCAATTTACCATTCAATTCCCTCTTATACCCCTTAGATCCAACTTCCACTATCCCATCCACTCTTTGTTTCTTTGTTTTGCTTGCTTCTTTCTCAAGGCTCACATTTGATAATAATTTGAGATTCACAACATAAAATCCTTCAAACGTTTTGAGTAGCAGGGTCATGTTCATCATTGCTTTATGCCATTTTCCTTACTCAACAAAAGGTTGTAATCTGTGGAAACCCAACAACATTGATGTGATACCAAAATGAGCAAAGAGTACCCCTCTCATGGAGAGCATTGTTTAGTTAGTTAGTTAGTTACAAATCGAGCAATGAGTGGACGAAACAATCGAAGGAAATGAATAGATTAAATTTGGATGAAAATATCTCTAGTTATTATAACATAAAGGAATATTTTCATAATCAAATTACTTCAATTTGATGAAACATCAATTGATATGACTGAGTTTGTTCAAACCTACATCAATCAATAATGTAATTAAGTTTATTGTGGACAAGAATAGTGGCCTACAAGTACAACCAATTCAAATACCTCAATTAGACATCATAAGAGGAAGAAAAGATATACCTTAATATTATCCTCAAAATGACAATATGGTCATTTGGGCCAAGGGGAGTGGGCTCCAACGTGAGGCAGGCTGTCACGGCAGATGGGCTGGTCTGGCTGGAGGGAGAGTGTCGACTAAGTCTAAGACTAATCACTCGCTCGGATTCCAAATTTATTATCCAATCCCATTTTTTCCACCTATTTCATTTTCGAAACCAAAATCTAAAAGACAAAAGGAAATGAAGGATGCACATTAAATACATACTAGCAGAGGGCCCGGCCTCTTGGCCGGAAGACCTTTATATACCTGTATATATAATTATGCTTGACTTTAACGAACATATTACATATGTGATTGGTAAGATGACCATCAATAACTTATATAAGTACTCAAAATATTTAATTGGTAATATTTATAGAATGTTATTATTGAAAACATGTCGAACAACATATATACGTACCTAATATATTGATGCATTTTAATTTAACTATCTTCGTAAAGAAGGTCTTATCTATGCAAAATGTTTAGAAATAATAGCATGATTGTTTCTTCCCATGACATATGCATAATCATTGTGTTGACCCATCACAAATCATTAGTAAGTAACTATATCAATGTCGAACTTGATAACATCAAATCTCTATGGAGACATCACCATTAAATGAAAACCTTTATTATGTACCTTTAAAATTTCTCTCAAATCTATATAATTATGCTCGAATATTTATGAAAACTATGACAATGTCCAAATTGACCTTCATAACCTAGTACTCTCTCGTCTTCATCTTTCCCTCTCACCCCAAAATTTTCAAAGTTCCCAACACTGAAAATTCTTTTGGTCCTCATATCTAACCCTAACAATTCATATCAACGGTAAAATTAACCATCCTTTTCCAATCAACTTCTTTTAGCCGATCCCAAGTATATAATTTGGATGATTCACATAACTGTAAATAATAAGATTTTTTATAGGCATATTAAATTGCCATATTTCGACTGCTCATTCAGATGTACAATGTCATCGAGATCTATTACCATCTTCAATAGACAATGTTGATGAGTAATAGAAAAATACAATGTAATTAGTAATAGAGAATTTATTTGTATTTCCATCTTTACTCTCTAGATCTCAATTACCTAGACGCCATTGTTTGTCTTTTCATCTGTAACAGAGAATTTGTTTGTCATTCCATCTTTACTCTCCGTCATACGGATGCACATTGTTTATTGTTTTATTACTTATCAACGATGTCTGAGATTGTTGGCTTTAGAAGTTTATACTTTTCGTGAGATGAGTTCGACGGGTAAAGAGGAGTCTGATCTGGGAGAAGAAGCTTGATGTCAACCTTCTTAGTGATAATGGAGTAAAGAGAAATTGAGAAAGGGGCATGGATTTAGGCTGTCGATAGGAAGACTGGTTGAAGAAGGAGGTTGAATTTGTGAGAAATTTTAGGGACAGGGTAGGGATGGGTAGTGAGTTGGCCTAGAGTTACACCCACATGAATTAACCTGGTTATAACCCACTCAATACATGTTTGGGTGCGTGTGTGTCATTTTCTTTGTGGCCCATAAAATTTGGATGGTGACGGATGGGTCATTAGCCTGTCAAAGCACTTGATATATCATGTTACTAATATATATTATATGATAATGTACATATATTCTAATCCCAAAATATTAATCATGATTGAATTGATAATTAGTTATTATAAATTTGCTTAACTTATTACATAAATTATAAACTAATTATTTAAAAAAATACAATACATAGTCTTAAAGATTATTGATTTTCTTGCACCAAAAAATGATTAATGATTTTCTCGAATTTTTAATTTTTTATATTCGATAAGCTTATTATAAATTTTTATGGCTCATAGTTATCTTTTTTATAAATATTTTCTAACCAATCAAATCGTCAAACCCACCAACCATCCAACATTAACAATATGAACCACTCACTTAACTACAAATGAATAGGTTGAGTGATGTTTTCATCACACACCAAAAGAATGAGTTAATGGATTTTGGGGAAAACCCCTCATCAGAAGTACACAACCATGGCTCATAGATATGGTAATGGGTCATCTGATCCAATTGTCAAGATCCATATGAGTATTGGTGTCGAATCCAAATGGATCTATATGCACTTTTAATGGGTTTTGGTTGGGTTTGAATTGTGTTCTATTTGGCTCAATCCATTTGGGTTAAATCCAAATGGATCTACCTAAGTCTAGATGATTGTATAAAAAAATTATATCTATCGTTTCATTAACTACTTTCAACCCAATTATATACCTTTAATGTAGGTGTTTCTACGGTTCTATTTGTCTCATAACAAAAAAAAATTGTATTATAATCATGTATCCATTTTCTTTTGAACTTCCAATATTAATGATAATTTGGACCAAAACTACAGAATTGAATATTAATATACTCCAAAAATAGAATTACTCAAACATGATTTAGACTCTAATGAATTGAGTTTGAGTGACAACAGAATATTAAGTAGTTTTTGTAATAATAATTGATTTTTTTTTGTGGAAGTCATAATAATTGATTACGGATGGGGTATTGGAGACTAAATGCCAAAAAAACCTACAATTTAAAGATTGGCAAAACAAATCGTTTGGGTTAGTGAGTGACACAAAAAAAAAAAAGAAACAAACGGAAAAGCAAAAACAATAACAAAAGGTCAAAAACAATAAAATAGAACGCAACGTTTTGGGCTAAAACTGATAAGGGTGTTTTGACAAAACTGTCCCTCCGAAAATTAATCCCGTGGCTCCATTTTTGAAATGCAGCAAAAGCCACCCATGAAAACGTATTATATATAGTGTAGATGAGGCCATTGAGTTTTGGATCTATACGAATTTGCCACCAAATTCTGGAATACCAAACAAAATAGGCAACTCATCATCGTATTTTTTTCGTATTTTAGTTGTCTAGATTATTATTATTGACTCAAACCGAATTGAGAATCACGAACCTAATGAACCACCCGTCAAATCAAAATTTACGGGCGGCCATACCTCCTTACTTGCAACTCCTAAACCATGGTTAAATCAGAGAAACATTGATTAATGTATTTGGTTTAGCTCAAAGATGAGGTAGAATTATATTTTAGAAAATTAAGTGTAGTACTTTTTTCATCGTTAGTTAGATTGAATTCATTTGATAACAAGTAAAGTGTGATTGGAATAGTCCAAAGCAAAGGAAATTGTTAATAAAATGTATCGATATTATTAGTGATGGTTGACTTTGACGAAAGAAATTCTACCAAAACTCAGTGTCACAACATAAATCAGGAAATATAATTGCAAAAACGTGTTCACGATAAGATGTTTTGTTTTCGTTTAATAAATTGGGGATTCATTCGAGCATTTCCTCGAACACCTTTCCTACAATCCCTTTTTTTCAACAAGCTTCTGTGTTCTCTTATTGCGAATTCCCAACGCCCCGTTAGATTTTGATTCATTTCGTTTGTGGTTGAATTCGTGCAGCATCTCAGCCCAGCGAGGTCGAGGCCTCCGCTAAGGTAATAGACGGAAAATTGGTGGCCCAGCAAATCAGAGAAGAGATAGCCGCTGAAGTAACCAGGATGAAGGATGCGATTGGAGCTGTTCCTGGGCTTGCAGTGATCCTCGTTGGGGACAGGAAGGACTCCGCGACTTACGTGCGGAACAAGAAGAAAGCTTGCGAATCTGCTGGGATCAATTCTTTCGAAGTGCGCCTGCAGGAGGATTCGGCGGAGGCTGAAGTTCTCAAGCACATCGCGGCTTTCAATGTGATGACCCTGCAGTTCATGGCATTCTTGTCCAGTTGCCCCTACCAAAGGTTACTACTAGTCATTACACTGGAAAGTTGAGCTCTTTGGAAAATGAAATGAACAATGAATTCAAGGGCTCGAGATCGTGATGATGTGTGTATGTTTTTCTGTTGCAGCATATGAATGAAGAGAACGTCTTGAATGCTGTCAGCAAAGGTACTACTAGTCATTACAAAATGATTGTCTCTTTATTTTAGTAATTATAGTGCACATCTCATATGACTAATTGATTTTATATCTTATAGGTAAGTATTATGTTGTTGATTCTGGATGTGCAAACATTCCTGGGTTTCTAGCGCCATATAAGACAAAAGAAGCACGTCATTTTCAAGATATCGATCGTGGAGGTGGACCAAAGACTCGTAAACAACTTTTTAACCATTATCATTCATCTCTACACAATGTTATCGAGCGTTGTTTTGGAGTTTTGAAGGCTATATTTCCCATTTTGAAGCATGTGCCTCCTTTCGCTCTCAAGAAACAAGCACACATTGTTCTTGCATGTTGTGTTATACATAACTTTATTAGGATCCACTCTGGTGACGACACTCTGTTTGAAGAATATCAAAATTATTGCACGGGGGAGAATGCCAATGGAGTGCAAGGAGGACAAGAACGAGAAGCGTATAATCATAGTTCAAGCCAAACTCGAGCGATGGATGTACGACGAGATGGAATAGCAGACAAGTTGTGGGATGACTTTCAAGCTGGACTTATTTGAATTTTTATGTTGTACTAGTACTTAATTAATATAAGATGTTGTACTTGTATTCTATTTATTTGTAGTTTAAAAACTATTTAATTCAAATTAAAAATTATAATCATGTCTAGGGTTGTATGATAATCAAGAATCAGAAAACAGAATGAAGCAACTAAACAGATTTTCATTTCAGAACTCAATTTCAGAACTCACCAAAATTCTCAGCTAAACAAGGTTTTTTCAGGTTTTGTTTTCCAGGAAATGACAGCTTCGTTTTCATTTTAATTTTGTTTTCTGTTGTGGCAGCTAACATAAATAGAATGGCAAGTAAACGGCCCATCAGGTGATCTCACCGATTCTTTTCTCCAAAACACAATATTTTTGTCAATACTTTTTAATTTGTCATATTTGTGATAAATTTAAAAAAAACAATATTTGTGTCATTCTTAAAAAAAAAAAAAGAGCGTGCCTCCAAATCCAATTGGCCGTTACCGGTAAAAGGAAACGGAAGATGATAAGCTTCTCTGTATCCCCTCCGACGAACGTCCTCCCCCTCAGACCTTCTTCAGCCGCCGTTCCCGGCGAAAAGCATTCTTCTAATTTATCGTCATCCTTCAAACCCGCCGCCGATTTCCAACCTCTGCAGCTAAAAACCGCTCTCCTCCGCCAACTCGATGCCGGGAATCTTCACAAAGCGGTCTCCACTCTTGACACGATGGCCCAACAGGGGCACTATCCAGACCTCGCCGCCTATTCCCTTCTCCTCAAATCCTGCATTCGCTCCCACAACTTCCAGCTCGGCCGGACCGTTCACGAGAATCTCTCCCGCTCCGGAATCGAGCCCAACTCGGTCATCCTCAACTCGTTGATCAGCCTGTACGCGAAATCCGGCGACTTGGAGAGAGCCGATTCGATATTCGGGAGCATGGGAGGGAAGAGGGATGTGGTTTCATGGAGCGCGATGATCTCTGGTTATGCAAACAATAATGGGATGGGATTCGAAGCCATTGCTGCGTTTGTAGAGATGCTTGAATCCGGGATTTTCCCCAACGATTACTGCTACTCCGCGGTGATTAGGGCGTGTTCCAGTAAGGAGATGTTACCCTTCGGCGAGGTGATCTTCGGGTCGGTGTTGAAAACGGGGTACTTGGGTTCCGATGTCTGCGTGGGTTGTGCGCTGATTGACATGTTTGTGAAGGGAGGTAAGGACTTGGAATCTGCCTACCAGGTGTTTGATAAAATGCCTGAGAGAAATGTGGTTACCTGGACGTTGATGATAACGAGGTTTCAGCAGCTGGGATGTCCTAGAGAAGCCATTGAATTGTTCATCTCAATGGTTTCGAATGGCTGCGTGCCAGATCGTTTTACTCACAGTGGAGTGATTTCTGCTTGTGCCGAGTTGGGTTTCTTATCACCTGGGCAGCAGTTCCATGCTTGGGTTATAAAGTCAGGATTGGCGTCAGACGTTTGCGTTGGATGCAGCTTGATCGATATGTATGCGAAATGCTCTCCAAACGGGGCGCTAAATGTCTTAAAGGAAGTGTTCGACAGAATTCAAGACCATAACGTGATGTCTTGGACCGCCATCATCACAGGCTACGTTCAGAGTGGAGCACACGACATGGAAGCAATCGAGCTCTTCCTCGAAATGGTTCAAACCCGAATTACCCCCAACCAGTACACTCTCTCTGCAGTTCTTAAAGCGTGTGCAAGCCTCTCCAATCCACTAATCGGCGAACAAGTTCACTCTTATGCAATGAAGCTTGGTCTTTCAGCAGTCGACTGTGTAGGCAACTCTCTCATCACCATGTACGCGCGATCAGGGAACATGGAACACGCCAGGAAAGCCTTTGATGTCTTGTTTGTGAAAAATCTGGTTTCTTACAACGCCATGGTCGATGCATACTCCAAGAGCTCAAACTCCGAACAAGCATTCGAGCTCCTGCACGAAATCGAAACCGAAATCGATTCCTTCACATTCGCCAGCCTATTGAGTGGAGCTTCGAGCATTGGCGCGATAAGCAAAGGCGAGCAGATCCATGCCAGGATCCTAAAATCGAGCCTTGAACCGTGCCTTCACGTCTCCAACGCTCTAATCTCCATGTACTCCACCTGCGGAAGCATAGATTCCGCTTCCCAAGTCTTCAATTCCATGGCAGATCGAAACATCATATCCTGGACTTCAATGGTGACAGGATTTGCCAAACACGGATTGGCAGCTAAAGCATTGGAGACATTCGACGAGATGGTGAAAGCAGGAGTGAAGCCGAATGATGTGACCTACATTGCAGTTCTATCAGCTTGCAGCCATGCAGGGTTGGTCTCAGAAGGATGGACACACTTCGAATCGATGAAGACCCAACACGGTATCAACCCCAGAATGGATCATTACGCTTGTATGGTCGACTTGTTAGGCCGATCAGGGCATCTAAACGAAGCCATGGAGTTCATCAACACAATACCATTTAAGCCAGACCCTTTAGTCCTCCGAACACTCCTCGGAGCTTGCCAAGTACACAAAAACACAGACCTCGGCAAGCATGTTGCCAACATGATCATCGAACAGGACCCCGACGATCCTGCAGCATACGTGCTGCTTTCGAACCTCTATGCATCAGCCGGGCAATGGGACAAGGTGGCAGAGATCAGGAAACATATGAAACAGAGGAATCTGGCCAAGGAAGCCGGCTGTAGCTGGGTCGAGGCGGGTAACTTGATCCACAAGTTTCACGTCGGCGACACATCACACAAACAAGCTTTCGAGATCTACCAGGAGCTGCACGCGCTGGTCAACGAGATCAAAGAGATGGGTTACGTTCCGAACACGGACTTCGTGCTCCATGATGTTGGGGAAGAAGAGAAGGAGAAGTATTTGCTGCAGCACAGTGAGAAGATTGCTGTGGCGTTTGGGTTTATTGGTTCGGTTGGGTCTTCCAAACCGGTCAGGGTTTTCAAGAATCTGCGTATTTGTGGGGATTGCCACTCGGCTTTCAAGTACTTCTCGGTGGCCCGGGCCAGAGAGATTGTGGTCAGAGATTCGAACCGGTTCCATCACTTCAGGAACGGGAGTTGCTCCTGCAATGATCATTGGTGAATATTTGGGCCTCATAACTGGTGTGGGCCTTAAAAATGTTGGACCCCCTGGGTTGGGCTAATGGAGGATGGGCTTCAAGTACATTTCCAGCTAGAGAAATCTTCCCAACATGCGGCTTTTTTCTTCTGTTTTTTTCGGTACATACCTCTACACTCCAAAATGTAACAACCATATAGGTTATTATAAAATAAAATAAAAGTCACAACCATATAGAAAATAATACAGAAAATTCAGAGATATTGGTAATAATACAGAAAAGAAATAAGATTAACAATCGAAGTAGAATGATGCATGTTGGATGAAAGTGCCAAGAACTTGAACCTCTTCGAGAAGTTTGTCACTCATAACATGCAACGAATCATTCACAATGAACTTTCAGATAAGAATCTGAGTTTCACCACAACATAGTGCATTAGTAACCAAATGAGCAAACCAGTCTGGCACCATCTAACCGCATTCCTTAATGTAATAAGTTCGACGATAAACGAATCTACCGTAGCACCATAAAACCTGTCAATTTTATACAGGAATCCCAACCTGCAGTTTTAGGTTATATACAAGTATACAACACGTGTATCATGCCCACAAACACCGCCCATAACTGTTCCTCTTGCCAGCAGTGCTAGCTAGGACTACACTTGACGAAACTCTGATAGTTTTGTACAGAAAGATCTACAATAATAATGTATTATTAATTTATTATTAATATATAAGGGATTAATAATTTAGTGACACGTACGTCCGGAAAAAAGGGCCCAGAATCTTACCCAATCATGGGTCCGTGATATTTTTTCCCATTGGGAGGAGGGGCCGGCTCGATATTTTTGGGCCAACGAGAACATTCCAACGCATGTTCAAACGAAAATAGGAAAGGGGGATAATGAATTCATTAGTCCTTGTATCTATGGGGTGTCAATATTGTTAATTCACAATCATTCAAGTATATTTTTTCTCTCGCTTCCATGTTGTTTATGTCCCTTCGTTGTTATCATCGTGATCAAAGCTTTTTTACAAGAAGATGCTTGTTTGCGTTTTTTCAGTTTCAACCGTATGGTAATCTCTTTGGGATCGGGAAAGTGAATGACAAAACAAGTTTGTAGCAATTGGACAATACACAGGAGTGGCAAATGCGAACGCTTTATATCGAGCACCACTGTGCTTGCAGTACAGGAAGACAAACAACTGAAACAAGCCATGGAAAATTTCAAGCATGGGTGCAAGGCTGTTGTTTGGTGTGATGAGTCTACTCATAGTGGTGGTCTGGTGGATCTGCATTGTCATCGACACCCTCGACCATCCTCCAATTCCAAGTTAAAAATACTGAACTTGTAAATGTTTTGAGAAATAATTACACTTGTAAGACATAAATCACTCATTTTCCGCGCTCAGCTTTCAAGATTTTGAATCTCATAAATTTAACCTTTCAAACCAACTACTCAGATTTCTGACTCCACCACCGTGTATTTTCGGACAATGAGGATGCATGCTTATGGATGAGTGAAAGGAAGTGGTACACTCTGAGTGAAATGACCTAAAACGGAGACGTATTAGCTGAAAATTTATTGAAACAAAAAAGATAACTAGCTCAACAATGAGAAAAAATTTGGCGATGCAGCTAATAAATATATAAATTAATAACATAATAAGATCTCAATGCGAAGTGCAAAGAAAAAAGTGACACATTGTACGAGGTGCAACTCTCGACACGCGACCGAGCTCAGTAAGCCACGTGTCCCCGGGTACGTCAAGTCAAAGAAATTTCATTTTTTTTAAAATCGTAAATTTCATTGCTTTAGTGTCAGCGAATGAATATGAGGAAAAAGGTGGGGCGTTCAAGAAAAGTCCCAAAGCAAAATCCTCTACCGCCACGGTACGCCACGTAACGATTTTTCTCTCTCCGAGACCAATTTTTTTTTTTTTCCAACGAAGAGAAAAAAATCAAAATAGTAGTTTCCAGCCGGCCGTGGGGCCGACCTTCCACCGAAACCAAAATCCAGGGCGGGGAAAGATCTCGATCGACCACGTGACACGGCGAGGCTCAATCCCAGCCGTCCACGTCTCCCCCTCCGGTCCCCGAAATGTCTCGTGGAAATATCCGCGCGGGTGGTATCTACATGCCCATGTCCATGTGGCGGTAACTCTATGGAGCCAACCCTAAGGCTGCGTTTGCTGACCCTTATTATTTTCAACATTTTTTGGGATTAATAATGAGTTACATATTTAGGGCAAAGGGGTAAAGTTTGTGGTGTTTTTTTTTTGTCGTAGATTAATTATGAGTTTCACATGTCGAGTTTACTAGATGCTCTTAATCAATATAAGATTATTGAAGATCATATACTATTTTTCTAACTCCAAAAATCGAATTACAAAACAATGACATTGTATAATCTCGAAGTACAGATCCTTTAATAACATCTGACATAAGAGATCATGTGAATTATCGATGGATGAGGATGTTGAAATCCTCCTTGAGTTATAAATATGGTATCAATGTGGCTTGCAGGCAGCCAACAAAACGATCCGATTCGTTTAGAAGTGATTAATTATTAGCGCGATATTTAGTATGATGAGCGTGTTCGTCAATAAACAATAACCTATTCGTTCTACAAGTGAACTCTTGACCAAGAGTACAATTTATCAACTCGCATTGAAAAAGAACCAAACACTCGATATCTAAGGGGAAAAAATAACAGGAATAAGTTACGACGAAATCTCAAACTGATAAGATTGTGTGTTATGAATCAAACAATACGATTATATTATTTTTCTCATCATAATCCACATATTGTTAAATCAGTCCAAAAATTGTATCGAAAAACTCAACGAAAAACCATAATATATATAACTATAATTCAACCTACTTCATATCGTTCAACATACCGTAAATAATTTTTCTGATCGAACCACCGAGTATCGTAAAGATTTCTCAAATCTTGCTCGTTATATATATATATATTGAAGGACCTCATACGTCGTTGTCGCCATGCTGTATTTATATGAAACCAAACAAGCACCATTGTCCCCTCCCCTAGGCCCTAACCTTTCCATTTTCCTCCCTCTCTCTCTCTCTCACCCAACCCTCTCAAGCTCTTTATCTCCTTTCAACTTCCGTCCAAACCAAACAAATGAACGGGTGGCAGTTCGGAATTGGATTTGCTGCCAATTGTTAGCTACCCCAAACCTTTCTCCTCTCTCTTTCTCTCTCTAGATGAATCAGTTCGTGCTCACCAAAACGATCAACGCCCGCCGCCGGCGACTGAGAATCCGGCGACTCAAGTACACCTGCGAGTCTCCCAACTCCCACGATCTCACCGCCACTCTTTCCCCCGCCTTGAAGGAGAAAGATAAATCCTCCTCTTCTCCCGCAGCAGCCGTCCGCGAGATTTCCGTGCTGTTGACCGCCACGTCAGCACCGGCCGAGAAGAATGACAGCAACTCGGATCCGGGAAACGACGCCGTTTCGTGCGGATCGGCGTCGGCGATCGGCGGGAGGAAGGAGATGGAGGACGCGGTGGCGGTGGAGCTGGGGTTTAAGGGCGGGTACGATTTCTTCGGGGTGTACGACGGGCACGGCGGGGCGGGGGTGGCGGAGGCGTGCAGGGAGCGGCTGCACGAGCTGCTGGCGGAGGAGATTGGCGCCGGCGTTGCCGCCGGTGCGGAGTGGGGAGGGGTGATGGAGAGGTGTTTCGGGAGGATGGACGGGATGGTGGAGGAGAAGGATCGGATGGTGGGGTCGACGGCGGTGGTGGCGGTGGTCGGGAAGGAGGAGGTGGTGGTGGCCAATTGCGGCGACTCCAGGGCCGTGCTCTGCCGCGGCGGCGGCGTTGTGGTTCCGTTGTCTTCGGATCACAAGGTAATGAATCATATACTTGCCTTATCTAAAGCGATGAATGAAATCTTATTATTTTTTTATCAATAGTTGAACTACGGATGAAATAACTCGTTTTACCACTAAACCAGCGGTCTTTTTTATAACACCTAGAAGTATAATAAAACTGAATAGTCAAGAACAACTCTATAACAATTTGATGTATTCAAATAATGCATCACCCAGCTCATGAGCTACCTCGCCACATCTCTCAAAATCACCGATTGAGGATAAACACGAAAACAAACAGATGAATTGATGATATTAATGTACCGATATTGGTATTTAACGAATTCGGCTATCATGTTGAATAGAGTAGCTACTCGCGATCTTTCGTAGAGGAACGAAAGAAACGTACTTAGACCTATGTCGTATAACGGTCTAGTAAATCATGATTTAGCGTTCAGATCAACGGTTAAATCATCAGTTCACACACTTACATGTGTGATGGAAGAAATAGCATTCAACCAAGGATTGTTGATGGCTTACTTATAAGTTATAAGTTATAACCACACTTTTTGTATTCTTAGTTGTTTGTACAATGCTTTGTATTGTTAGTTGTTTGTACTTTGTAGAATGCCTTCCCTTTATGAGCTTTTCTTGGGTCTACAAGTCATTCCCTTTATTGGCATGGTCCATGTGCAATATGATCAAGCCTGTTGATACAAAGATAAAAGGGCAAGATCCCTCGTATCTCTCCCAAAGCTTGTTGTCTAGTGTCCTTCCTTTCCATTAAAAAAGCTTATCCAGGTTTCAGTTACCCAAAAATCAAAGTAATTAATTAGTCCTCCTCGCCTAACTCCCTCGTAGAACCACGAGTTACCCGACCGTTCTTGCCAAAATGTGACATATCTGGCCAAATTCGAATCGATTTAATGAACACAATCGTACTCGTCTCTGTGCAACTAGTGTACAATAATCTAGCTAGAAGGCAACATAATTGTACTCGTCTATGTGCAACTAGTGTACAATAATGAACACAATCGATTTAATGAACACAATCGTACTCGTCTCTGTGCAACAAGTGTACAATAATCTGCGAAGTAAACACGAACACAATTATATAGCTAGAAGGTGCCTGACACTTTTCTTGTCTTTCTATGGCAAAAAGCCTGACAGGCCGGACGAGCTG